AACTAATTAAGGAAATGTCAAACATAATTAATAAAACAGGTTTAAGCTGCAAAACATTGTCAATTGAATGAATGAGGAGGCATTGGCTCCCATTGTTCAGGCTTTATTTAGGTCTTGTGTTTAGCTTGTTCCCTGCTCCAGAATGCTCTCTCCCCTCCTCACTCCCTCCGCCACCAATTCCCTGAGAGGGGGAAAATAAATTTGCTTGTCTCTCCACTGACTGTAGAAATTAATTGCTGAAATCTTGTCCCATCCAAGTGTTACATTCACACGCAGGACATTAACATAACTAATTTGAAAGAGCTCAAATGACTGCATAATGGAGCTCCGTCACCATGCATGACAGTCGCTGGTCATACCAAATTAGCTTGGCTTTATAATTGAAAAATTTCCCCCTCCTTTCTTATTTTTACATCATCTTCCCTCCACTTTTTACACATACTTTTTCACGTCTTCCTTGCTCCCTGCCCTCCTGTCGTATCTTTCCTTCTTGTTCAGTTTTCCTGATAAGAACAAAGGTTTTATAATTTACAAAAAGAGTGCTTGACCTATAATTAGAGAAGAGGAGTGAGGGGAGAGGAGGGGGAGTACCAAGTGGTGGCGGCAGAGTCAGATCCTTAGTCCTGGTAATGATGCTGGAGACCTTGTGGCCCCCAGGGAGGCAGAAGAATAATGGGATGGGCTATTTTTATGGGGGAGCAAAGCAATGGGCCACCAGCCGCTGGGATGCCGGTGCCTGCGTATGGTGCAGAGCAGCAGGGGCTAGCAAGGGGCTAGTGGGGGGCAAAGGAGGGTGAATACTCAACCTGCCAGATTGCCCGCTCTCAGCCCAGCCCATCAGTTCTGTTTGTCAGCCTGATGCACCGCTGTCGGCCTCCGTGCTCCCATGCCAGCCACAGACAGAGAGAATGTATGTGTGGGTGGCTGGGTGGGTTAGGGTGGGGGTGAAAACATCTGCCACTCAGAGGAGAACAGAGGGCTTAAAGATACAAGGTGAGGGACATAAAACAGTAAAGAGATGCATTTTCCTGAGCACGTGTATTAATTATGAAGACCTGGATTTAAATACTACTTTGCAAAGACATTTTTTAGCCTTTGAAACGGGTTGGAAGAAGCACTCTGCATATGAAAGGATCAGACTGAAACTGTTAAACTAACCAAATAATCAACTTTTATAATCTAAAGTTTTTCTGTTTTCTCAAACTAAAATACATTTTAGATTTAGATACTTTTTAGTGTTGTTTACTGTTTGACCCAAACCTGGTGATAATAGATATCTTTAATAATGCGCCTGTGTGCCGAACAACACAGCAGACCTACAGCTGCCAATATTTTTTTGTGCTTCGGTTCAACATACTCTAACCACTGCTATTTATCATACTCCCACGTTACAATTCTCAAGAGTTGGAGTAGCAAAAGAAACAAAAACAGAAAAACAAAAAGTACGAGAAGAAAAGGATACAATAAAACACAAAACTGCAAAATAAAATAGGCGCAGTCTTTATTTCCATTGCATTTTCACTCTCATCTTTATTTCATTATTCCACTAAGAATTCTTATCCCAGCCAAAAGTAAAGCTCGACTGTGTTTATATATTTTTTTTTAAATACGTAAAAAGTTAAAGCTCTTCTGTAAACCCACAGACACTCAAGTGAAATATAGTTGATAAATTTTGCTTAAAGTTTCTGTATTGTTTTTGAAACTTGTAAGCAATAGATCCAGCAGTACAATACATGATAGTATATCATATATAAGATGGGAAATGACGACCGGGCCACAGGTCTAACACAGGCAACCAGTCAAAATGATATATTTAGGATAAATTACAAGTTAACCGAACAAGCACATCTGTGGCAGAAAGCCGAGGAGATTTCGAACTCATATATACATATATCTGTATAATCATATACAATATTGTTTGTGGCTAGGATTAATGTAAAACCTAGTATCATTTGTGGAGAAAAAAGGTGAGGTGAGACAAACAAATAGTTAGTTTTAGGTGTTTTAACATTTTATGATACGTTTTGTAACATCACAGTGTTAAAACTGCCATAATCCTAAAATTCTCTCAAAACTAATATTTTACACTGGTGTTCAAAAAAGTGAAATATCCATTCACCGTCTTCTGCCACTTATCCAATTCAGGGCTGCACAGGCTGGAACCTATCCTAGGGCCAGAGACAGGACACAGCCAGGATAGGTGCAGTCCAGCTTTTGTCGCAGAAACCTGGATCAGCCAATTAAAATCTGTTCCCAAAATCAGTCTGAAATGCATAACATTATTGCATGTATGTGATGGTTCATAAGATGAAATCAGCTGATACTGTGCTTCTAGCTACATGAGTATGCTCTGCAAGAGAGTAATCAGTTGCTTCCATGAGCATGTAAAGTTTTGGCAACAAACTTACACGTCTTGCAGTCAGAAAGTTCAGAAACTGTTATTGTTGCACACACACACTGAACTAACCTGCGTGTCGAGGATCATTGCTGATGATGAGCTTGCTCTCAGAAACTAAAGAGCAGTCTTGACTGGAAGAGTCTGCAGTCTCTGCCATGAGAACTTGTCAGAAGCACGAGCAAGAGCATCATTTTCTTTGACATTCATAGGATTGTGCACTGTGAGTTTGTCCTCCAGGCTGTCAAAGCTGAGTTACACTGCAACATCTTAAAGCGTCTTAGAGAGAACATTCGCTACACACGACCTGAACTGTGGTGCATGTCAATAATAGCCTGCCGAAAAGGCACGTTTTAATTCATACACACATATTTTTCTATACTGCCATGTTAAATGTAACCCGTTTACACAAACGCATAATTGAATTTTAAAATTAGACACTTAAAAGACAAAAACATATATAATGTATGTAAATGTAAATATTAATATACATATTAAAAATGTCTTCATAATAGTGACATTTCTAAGGCGAGTGGCTTTCCACCATAATGTATGAGCGAATGGTTAAATTACAGTATTTGTGTATTTAATGTAAATGATAAAACATTATATTATTATGGAACATATGCAGAAAACATAAAAAAAACATCATGCTTCATGTTTACTAGACTCATAATTGCTACAGTTTTGTTTTATAAAAAACATAGAATGAGAGTCTAAAAAAAAGATGCTATTTGAGGCAACAACAATCTCTTCTTTTAATTTTATGTATTGTTAAAACATGGTGGTTTAATTAATTTCATTTAATTAATTTTGTTTATATTATTAATGTGAACACTGAAAATGTACATAGACCAGTATTGAGCAGCACTTCATAAATATTGTGGTTGGTCCATTGAGCAGTATGTCCTGAATCTAGCTAGAGGAGGTAATTTCACATGAATTATTACCTAATGCACTTGAAAGGTTATAAAATGTCTGCATATTAAAAGTGCAGTTTATTTCTGCTGCCCAACTTGAATATAAAGTTACAGTCTATTTGTTGATTGCTTGATCTTAGTTTGTAGCAAACCAGCCAAAGTAGTGGAGCAGTTCTGCATTGTATGCTCGAGTAGCACATGAACACGTAGATGACTGCATAAATGATGATGTACATAATCATATTTGCAGCTAATTTCTCTAAACACATATCTGAATATTCAAAATCAGAATCTAGAAACTGGAAGCTTTGTGGGTCAATACTTTGGGTTGGTTTTGGGTGTGGGTGTACAGTTTGGAGTGGAGTGAAACTGAGGAACACAACTCTTTTTAAAATGTATCTAAATTCTAAACAGTGAGAGGCTCATGGAATAGGTAGTCAGTTATCCTTTATCCAGAAATCTGCTGGCCAAAACACTGGCTGTCACCTCCAGAGGTTGAATCAACAGATCTTCACCAATGATTTAATGAGACTGACTAGTAGAAAACTTTGATTCGTGTATGTGTACTGTATTCTGCAGAAAATCTACCCATAGTCTGAAGATGTAGTATTTTAACATCAGTCAAAGTAAAGAAAAGTGTGTGCTCTACAGTTGTTTGATTAGAAACTGGTTAATTAGGGACAATATCTATGTATCAGTGCAACGTAGGTGCACAATAGGTGTTGTATTCTGGCAAAAGGAGCAATCCCTCAAATGTTTTGAACATTTTCCTCAAAGTTTCCCAAGTGATATTTCACTTTTCATGTTATTTTCTTTTTTCCCCACATTTGCCTGTGACTCTTTCATACAACCCGATCCTTAAAATGCCAAGGGTCACGTGTCAAACATATGCAGCACGGATTGCAATTTATTACCCCACATTTGCCTGATAATTTTTCTCTTTTGACAAGCTTAGGTAAATCATAAAGCCTACTCTATAATGTATGAGGGCTCCGCTGGCTTGATGAGTAAAGTCTGTTGCTATTGGCTGTTACCCCTGTGGTGTTTGAGTTCCCATAAGACCAATAAGACTTGTCTGTATTCTAGCGTGACTCGAATCACTGCAGGAACAGGTAAGGTCCAGGTATTTATAGTAACTATATGCAAATGGATGAGTGCCATGTTGGACTCTTAGTGCAGAGGTGACAGTTAAATACATGTACATAGAAGGAGAAATATATGGGCTTCGCCCTCTCTTTGAGACAAGTCTAATCAGTTAGGATTGCCTTCTCTCCTCATTTCATTTGAATATATTCAGCTTGGACTTATTCTAAGGAAGTGTCTCCCATGTATATTATTCCTTCCCGCTGAAGGCTCATTATTTTACAGCAGGGTGTGTGAGAGGCGGCCCCAGTCTCTGAACTCTCTGTCGAGGCTGTATTAATCAAACTTCACGCAGCGGGAAAGGGTCCACCCGCTGACATGGCACTGCTCACTCTACACTTGAGGACAAAAGGGAAAACACACAACCTGAGCCATTACTGTGAAACATCTGCAGCTTTTAAGCATTACCACTTGTCATTATTTCAACAGCAGTAGCCACATGCGAGTCCAAAGATTGTCTCAAAGAATTTGAAACGACCGTTGACGCGTTTCGGCCGACATGTCATATAATAACATTGTCCTCTTCTTCCTTTTCACTACAGTGGATAACAAGATCTTTGCATGGGGAAATGGCACCAGTGGACAGTAAGTAAATGTCAGAAGTAACGTTATCTGTCTTGCTTTGATGGTGTGTGAAGGATGAGGATGAGTAGTGATACTTTGGGGAACTACTCATCTGTCTGTGAAGCTATCAGTTTGTTCTGCCCACTGGCCATTCAAACGTCTTATTGTTTTCTGCCGGTGTACTGCATGGCTGTATATTAATCGGACGAAAGAGGCTAGCTGACAGACAAACAAACTCAGACATAGTTATAAACAAACAGAAGTTGTTTATCTTTTGATGAGCTTCCTTGTTAAAACTTCTCCAGCCAGGAGCCAGTCTGGCTCTAATGACATTTAAGGGCATGGGGACTACAGTGATTCAGTGGCCCTCAAGTACTCAAACAGCTGCATGGCAGACCTCAGAGAAATGCATAAAAGGAACAAAGGCATCACTTCTCACTCTCTCATCATTTCCCATTGTCCCTTAGTCTCCTTCTCTCAATCTCCATTTCTCTGTCTGCGGTTCTCTCTCTACTGATGATGCTTTGACCTGTCTAAGCAGGTCGGGGCTCTCTAGTGGGGCGCTTATAGTTGGAGGAGCCTATAGTTGGAGTTCTGCAACACCCACTTGCAGAGCAAAGGGTGAGCATCTGTGTTACACAACTGGCACTCTGATATCTGAAAATTCCTCAGCTCTCCTGTGTGTCTCACTGGAGGCGAGAGAGGAGAAGAGTACGAGGGAGCTGTGTAAATTTAAACTGGCAAACTTTCTGATGGAAATAGCTGTGACCCCAGAGTGGTCTTGTCTTGAGTTGAAGCATTGTTGTAATCAATACAGGCTCTCGTGGGGATGACGGGCGAGGACCTTTCGTTCCCCGTTTGTGGAAATAATGGAGAAGACTGTTTGTTATTTTTCCCAGACATGCCGCAAACTAGCAGATATGGCCGGGGCATTGCAGGTTATGACGCTGGCTCAGGGAAACAAATACAAAGAGGAGCATTTTATCAAGAAGCAAACAGCAGAGCTCCGTTTGAAGCTGCTGGGAGCTCATAGGTCACAGGGGTGCTGGGGCTGCGTTTGACCAGCTCATCTTGAAACAGGGGCTTGGATGTTCTTTGTTCACTCGCACTAGGCATGCAGAAGCAGAAACGAGTCTCGGCTCTGGCCTGTGTAAAGTCATTTGTACAGCTTCAAATTAAGTTGGGTTCAGCGATTTCCCCGGAATGTAAAACTGACCTCACTGAAACATGCTTATTAGGCGACTCTTGTTTGGTTAGAAGAAAAATAGCTCAAAGGTAAAATTATAGTATCATTGGAGTAGTGCAAGTAAAAGCGATTTCTGGTGGTGTCTTTTGTTATGTTGCAATAAAATAGAAACAGTGTTAAAGAAAATAAACTTTTAAAGTGTAAATAGCAGAATATAAAGAATATTGAATGACTGCAGAAGAAGAAAAAGCCTAAAGGTATTTTCTGTCTTATTTTCTTTTTTTTTTCCTAGGCTGGGTAATGGAGAGAGGGCAGTAAAAAAACAGCCAGTCGAAGTCAAATTGCCACAGGAACTAAACGTCAGAGGAAGTCACCTAGATGGGAATTTTGCCAATGTAGTTGGCATAGCCTGTGGAAGCCGACACTCCTTCATATGGACCGAAACTGGGCAGGTCTACAGTTTTGGGAACAACTTTTATGCTCAGCTAGGCTATGACTTCCAGAGGGCTGACTTCAAAGAGAACCAGGTATGAAGATTATGGTTTCTTTACAGTTATGCACAAATCGTTACCCAATCCATCACTACTCCCAGTGGCTTCTGATTATCTTAAAGTTGTTTGGGTCATATTTACATAAACGCAATATAGAAAAATGAAGAGCTGGGAAAGAAGGTTTAGGCTAACACAGCTAAGAATGTTGTGAAGCCTATTGGGCAAAAATCTAAGAAGTATTGAGAGGAAGAGTTTCAATCCAGAAAGAGGTTCACAGTGTTTGTGTAATTGCTCTCACTGATGGAAGAGGGAGCCAAAATTTACACACTGCAGATGCAAAATTAATATGATTTTTTAATGACCCCTTTAAACATCCACACAGTCTCTTAGCTATAATATTAGTTTTTAATTCACTGTTGGGAGTAGGGGCAGGTCTACGTGATGGATACCTCAAGAGCCTGGATAGCTTCTTGTTAGTTGCCTCTCAAGCTTTGTCCTTACGTGGCTTACTATACAGTAGCATGCTGCTGAACCACACAAATCCTAAATTAAGTGCTGTGGAATTGAAATTGGCTCTCTTGTGAAGTGTTCCACTTGCATTGGAGCTTAATTTTGCCTACTCATATCATTTGATTCAGTCCCTCAGTCCCTCTTTTGCTTGCTGCAGCCCATCGCTCCCTCTTCCTTCTCATGCAAAATAAGCCCATTTACCACAATGTGGCAGTGTCTAGGTGAATGATTGCCACTCAGCACTTGATATATGGGTATGTGCTGCTGTGTGCATGTGTGCTGGATATATTATATTTCCAACAGATTCTCCCAGTATTTTGCAGCAACATTAGTGCGTTATACACTATGTGAAGCTCTTTAGGCTCATTTTCGTAATGAGTGGATTTAAAAATAGATTAATATGTTTGTACTTCATTCTACTCTATTTCTTGGCCCAAATATTGTTGCCTGTTTTGTCATTACTGAAAGGCTGGCTTTTACAGTCAGTTGTTTAAGACAAACATCCAATAGAGAGGCCTTTCAGTTCATATGAGACAGGCCTCATACATGAGGGCAAAAGGTAGCCAGCCACCAAGCAGTGTGTCAAGGTTCATGGGCTTAAGCTCTTACCTGTTCTCAATGACAAAGGCCATTTGGATCTGCATGACTGCTCCCACTTCTAAAATCTTGCTACTAAAGAAAAAACATGGGCCCCAGTGGTATGACTATCCCAGACTTATATGTTCATCTCTCTAGGCTTACTTGTGTCCTCTGATTGCCTCAGGTGGAGACCCAAACCTGGCCCTGTCCGTTACCACCCAGCTCCCACTTCTTTCATCCCTTTCCCTTTCTGTATACACTCTCCTTCTGAAGGACCAGACAGGCTGCTCCATCTTCAGCTGTCCTCCAGTCTCCTGACTATATGATACTGGCTATTGTTGTAAAGAATCTATAGGCTGGAACTGCCTGCTTCACCCCTAAGGCTCAGTTTCCCCTTTTTGTCTGAAATGGAGTGGTAGCAAAGCGCAGAGATCTAAGAAACACTATATTCTGTTCTTTATTGGCCCAGTGATAAGGTATTGGGATTCCGCTCACACCTGCGAGCCCTTTGTTCAGGCCCGCTATGGCGTTTCACCTGCACCAGACAAGGTTAGACAGATCGCCTATTTAATGGTTTGATTGACATTATTTTAATGTAACACCGTGGGGAGCGATACGTCTTTGAACAGAAAAGAAAGTTAACCTTATATTTCTCCAGGACACCCCCCCCTCCCCATTAGAACAATGACATTGGCATTTTCTTGGGATTTTGTTTGCACATAGGACATTCTGAGGTGCCTTATATAATACATTATAATAAAAACTTGCAGTAGGTATTGTGGTAGCTTTTTTTTAGTATCAAGCCTGCATCATATACCATACATCTACTTCTTTTTTTCCATTTATTGATTTTTTTCCCTCTGAACACTGCATAGCTTAGTTTCTAAGTAGGCTAACACCTTCTGGCTAAAAATGTACCAGTGTATTTCTACAAAAGTAAGCAAAAAGCGACCAGGGGAGCAAGAAAATAAACTCTGTTCCTAAGTGTGACACGTGTGCAGCTTGAGCTTGGCATGGCATCCGTGTTCAGCCTGGCTGCGCACAACTTGTTTGAATGTCATATTTATCCCTGTGTTTTGTCAGAAAATTAACTTCCTGTGAGTTTGCGGCAGAGCCGAGCATATGGCCACAGCTCTCTGGAGATGACAGCCTAGCGGAGCGGGAGCTCGCCGGTGCCGCTGCCCTGCTCTGGCGGCAGATGCTCCGGGCTTCTCCGCGATTAAGTGGAGATCATCACTGTTTTCTTTGAGCACCGCTGTGCCTTGTACTCTGAAGTGTTCAGTTAATCACTGCCTGCCTCCCTGCCTTTTCCACGCAAGCTGCCAAAGCACTCATTAAGTTTGAATCTCCCTCTTACTGCTCGCTTGCTCACCGGCTCGATATATTTTGTGACTGAATCTTAGCAGTCACCCTTTCTGAGGTTTTGTTGCACCTGTTTACATGAAGGATTGTACAAAGGCAGTATTTTTTGTTTGAGTACTGTATGTGATTCTATCTCTAGCCATGGTTCATTTGTTGTGTATCTTGTGTATATAAGAAAAAGCCACTCTATAAGTTACCGAATGTTTCCTTTAGCTTGTGACTACCGATGTGCTCTGTTTTTCCCTAAGTGCCAAAATACTTCCTTCACAGGCCTCTGAGGGAAGTGAAGTCTGTTCCACAGTTGTGTTTTTTCTCATTGAGAAACACTGATAGTCACATTTACAGCTGTAAAACACGACTCTGTTATCCACTGAGTATGTTGAATGTATAGAATCAGAGCGCAGGTATAATGTAAGTCATAATATTAAAATAAAATAAAAAAACTGAGCATTTGCTAACTCCCACCGCCTCCCAGGCCAAGTATCTCACATCCAGTTGTGTTGTATCTCCTACACAAACAGCCATGTATTGTTAATGTGAAACATTGTGACACGCTTTAACCCTGATTGATCTTGATCTCCGACACAAATAATAATGTGATTACAGGCTTTTCTCTGCCTCTGTCTTCGCTGCAGTGGAAAATAACATTAGGACTATCCTTTCATGTTAATCGCCTTGGTTGGAAGTATACCTCAGTGCACCAATAGGCCTCAGTAATGCCTCCTTTCTTCTAAAAAAACCCATCCAAAATAACCTATTTGCAGCACACCCACACACACGTTGCTTAGCTGTGTAACACTGTTATTCTGCACCAATCAAAGCCTGGCTTGCTTGTCCTGGTGCGGTGATCATTCCCCCCACAATAGCGGGATGGCATTACTGCGCTTTTGAAAGCATTTGCATGGCAAAGCAATAACATGCACCTTGTAAATAAAGGAATTGATCCTGTTCATCTCAGGTTGGATTTCCTGGATAAAGCTGTGGAAAATGGATCCCTGTATCGTATCGCGTCAATATACACACTCTGTTTCCTCATCCTCAAGTTTACTCTGCAGTAGGAATCTTCTTCTTAATCTCGTCTGTCAGGCTGTCAGGCAGACACAGAGAAATGTTTGCGATTCCCTCTGCTACACTGGTTACTTGGCAGACAGCTGATTAGTGCCAGTTTGCCTCGTTCCCAGTATGCAGATACCCAGATAGAAAGCTGGCCCCATTCATTGAGTCCAAGTACCAAAATAGCAATTGCTGTTCTCAATCAACTATGAAGAAATGGGTTTGCATTGTTGGAAGAGGTTGATTTGAGACTTTTTGAAGAGGCTCTTGAAATTACTTTCAAATCAGCCCGAGCTGACAGACAGCTGGTCGAGCATCATGCTGCTGTGTGCGGTCAGCAATAAAGAATAATGTTGTTTTTTTCTTTTCTTTCTTTTCTTTTTTTAAAATCATAACTCATACTATATGAGCATTACGCCTTTGCACCCTCTGGGCCCGCGCATTGTTATTCGTCACAATAGACGTTTATCTCCTCTACTTAGATTTAAATGTATTCACAACTGTACAAATTGCCACTGTGCTCTTGGCAAGGTACAACTAATTTTTAGACGAGGAAATTCCTTGTCAGGAGCAGCCAAGGGAGAAGGTGTCAGATTGATACCAGAAGTACACTAACGGCTGTGCGGGAGCATAAGCGTTTGCTGCGCTTCGGTGGCGGTGCGTTTGATTTCAACACTGACCACCAGTGATGCCAACCCTGTAGTCCTTATATGAGCTGCCTCTTGAGACATAAACATAGACAGCCCTCCCCCACATCTCACTCAAACTGATGCTGCTGAAGTAAAGAGACAGAGAGGGGAAGAAAGTGAGACACTGCCAGACAATAAAGCCGTTGTAGAGTATATACTCTACTTGCTTGCCTATTGTTACACTGCGGTAAGTGGGAACTCAGTGTGGGTGTACAGTGACCTCAGCTACTCTACCCATCTCCCCTAGGAGGACCTCAAAGGGCACTCGTTCAGTTCCTTATTGCACGCCCTGGGCTTTGCTGCAAAATGAGAGACAACAAAGAAAAAAGAAAAAGAAAGGGAACCGAGGGAGGTAGTCTCAACTTTACAGGAAGGCTAACCTGTGCCTTTGGAAATCCTGCATCTTTTTAAAAGTGCCTATCTTCCTGACTCTTAACGGTATCTGACAGAGTTTTTCGGGGCTGGAAGTGCTCAGTGTGATGACTTCTGTTGCACTCTGGAAATATTCTTTTTACCATAAGATGTTATGCAAAGCTTACCCTTAAAATGTGTATTGTTTTCTCAGTGTGAATGAGAGGATATGGTGTTTGTGACCTTGTTTCAGTTTGAATCATGTGCCCTGCTGTTTCCCCAATATGCCCCTAGTGTATGTAATGCTGAAAGCACATTTAGTATCAATAATTCTGTACATTTCCTTCTGGAAAACTAATTCTCATAATAGGATTTTGTCAATGTGATTTGAATAATGATCTCAAAACATCCCATTTTAGGCTACTTAACTAAATAGAATATTACTGATTGCAATACTTATCCATGGTAGGGGTTTTGGTAACCTTCTTTTCT